AAAAAAAAAAAAAAAAAACAACTTAGCCAACAATGTTCAAAATACTTGTAGTTCTCTAATCATATAATCAAACAATGATCTTGCGTTCCCAATTCTTATTGAACTCTTAATTGTGAATCTTCAACTTTGACCCCTGAAAAAACCTCATCCTCCCCCAACACGCAGTAAACCCTAAATTATTCAGCAACAAATCGCAAGCTGAACACTTGTTTTGTTTGTTTTTTTTTTCGTCCCATCACTTGATTATCATTTCAAAAAAGATTCGCGCAAAACACTATATATTTACATTTGAAAAACGTTCTATCTCATTTAGGCGTATATTTTACAATCGATGATATAATTGTTGCACTGCTGATTTAAATCGACCGTTTCGCGGTAAACCCACCTGTTTACGCTATGTCGATTGCCCACAGGCCGGCGTGTAATTGCTACATTTTACATGATTGTAGTACATTATTGTTTTGTTTTTGATACAAAAGGATGAGATATGCATACGCGTGTGTGTACAATTATGTGTTGATTCAACAGAGCATGAAGAAAAAAAAAAAAAAAAAAACCGACGATGGCCTTGGATGGGAGGCAGGTTGTCATTTCTTACAGACTAATTTCGTTACTTCGTTGCGGCCGTTCTCCAGGTACTCTGCTATCGAGTAATCGAACAGGATAAAGTCGTACCTGCAAACATAAATAAAGACTATGTCAGTTTAGAAAAATCCTGGGTGACAAGTGACACCAAGCAGAGGTGGTCAGTAACCACTTCTTGAAATATTTTTGCGGACGTGTTTTCCCAAAAATCTATAATGCATTGTTTTAGCTGGAAAAATTGTACCGCGAGCAGTTACAAGGAAAAGAAAAAAAGAATTTTATTCGGTTTGGACACACCCATGCTCACCTGAACATTTCGTAAAGCTCTTTGATCTGCGTCTTGGACAGCTGCGAGAAGTACTGGCTGACGACGTCCTTCGTTTGTACGCCCCGGGTTGGATTCTTCCACTCGGGTTTGACGATGTGACCCACGCGCGCCAGTTTTATCAAATAATTCTGATCGTCCTGCAAACAGCAACAACACGCGTCATTCACTCCTTAGACTATATATACATTTCCAATCGAATCATATAGTACCCATACCGAAGCCCCTCAAATGTCACGTCAGTCGATACAATTACTAGTACGAAGAGAAAGGTATATGATTGCGCTTGTACTGTGTGCAAGTAAGTAAGTGCGGCTCAGTGGGAAATCGCACGTAAAAACGGACATTAATCCGGCATCGCGCGCAACTTGTACAAAGTGTCGGATCTTATTGCAGGTTTCGTTGTCAAAGTGTCCAAAGGTCCCGGTGGTACGTGGCAAATGACGTTTGTGGGTTTGGGAGGAAGAAAGACATAATGTAAACCCCCCCCCCTTTCGTAAAAGCATCCAAACGCCCAGAGTATATAAGTGACCTATTGTCGAGGTGTCGCGAAACGAAAAACCAAACGATCGATAATATACCGGGATCTCGTGTCTCATCATGCGGTTGTACCTATCCGATTCCGCGTGAAAGCTCCAAGCTTCCTTTTCACAAAATCACGTCCCTTGGTTGGATGATTGAGAAAAAAGGGAAAAAAGTGCTGTCTTTCACCGCAAAGGCATGTAAATCCATACGACCACCCTTGTATCATGGCAGCGGTTGCGAAGGGGGGGGGGGTCGACTTACAAAAGGGCGACTCGACGAAAGCGCAGAGATTGTACTCGCTATGGTGGCGGTGATAGCGAGCTTTGGGGGAAACTCCGTGGCTGCTTTCCATAAAAGTTGGATTTTATTGGATGACGTTCTCTCCACTGGTGTCGAGCCTGTACGCGCGCGCTATGTTGTTCTTTTTCGGGGCGTCTATGGGTTGTACGATAGCTATCGTTTCATGCATTATTTTTTGTTAAGTGTATTCGCGACTACGACTAGTTTCGGAATTAGATAAATTTGAACCCCATCCGTTCGCCCGATCCGAGTGTTTTACGTATACTTTGAGACTGGCTCGAGTAATTTTCATCCCGTCAGGCTTTGACTTGGTAGATAACTCAATTTGGCTTCTTCAATCTGTAACTCTATAGGTTCGCCTTTCGAGAGATTTTAGCAAAGGGAATATAGTGCTCTCGGCCACTTTAGTATACGAAAAGGTACTTTTTTCTCTTGTAAATTCAAAAATTAACCCTCTGCACGAGCGAGCTCCCGTTATACTTTTCGTAATACATATTGCAAAAAAAAAAAATGGCTTTTGACCCGCAAAAACATCGACAAAAATAGGTGTAGTATCTACCTGTTTGTCGTTTAAAAAATATTTGCAAAAATCTCGCGGAAAATGCGAATGAAAATAAAAAAGGAAAAAAAAAAAAACCGGTGCCTGAGTCTCATCACTCAAGTATTCCGGAAACTTGACTTGCACATCAGCAAACATCCCAACCGGATGATCCAATGACAACTTTTGATGCGTCAACTCACGTGCAGCGTCTCGAATTTCGCGATGACGGTGAATCTGACTTGACAAGGTGTGCAAAAATTGATGATAGGCGTCCAGTGCATGTCCAGCTCGTTTCCGGCCCTCCACTCGCAAAGCAGCCATCGCACGAACTCTTCGAACAACGGGTACCTCGGCCCGTGCTTGCCCGCTGACTTTGGACTCTGTCGATCAATCATTGTTTTTTTTTATTATTCAGTCGTTATCAAATCTCAATATAATGACGTTATCACGCGGCATTTCCTGTTATTACGATTCACATCATCTTAAAGGGACTTTTAGGGTCACCCTATCCACGTGTTGCTTCGGACCATGGCATTACGAGGTAAAAAAAATGATTCGCTATTTTTCGCTCCAGGACTGAGAAAGCTATATGACAGAGAAAAAAAAAATTGAATGTGCTAAAATGGTAATCTGGTATCTGGGGACTTTTTACTTTAGCCAACCTAATTTTTGCCATTACTCTGGACAGTAATTTCTATTGTACAAATAGTAAAAATTATACTGTACTCACAACAAAAATTACTGTTCTAAACATTAAAGATTATTGTTCAAATAGTAAAAAGTCTCTAGACGACCAAACACTACCAGATTACCATTCTAGCACAGTAATTTTTATTAAATTTTTTTTTTTCTCTCAGTGTACAATTTCTGCTCCAGTGTTCAAGATAACCAGCGCAAGCTCCAACACACGTTCGCTTGAAACATATGATGTGAAGCCGATACGAAAAATGTAACAATACGACACGTATGTACCTTGGCCCGATAGGCCGAGACAATGTGCGCGCCAAGTTTACTGTGAAAGGTGTGCGGCAGACTGTGCTCCAGTTTGTCCCTGTAGGCGCTCAACAGCCGCTCGAACGGGTGTCTCACGATCAGGAAGCTCACGCTGTCGTTCAGATACCTCGCGAGCTCGTCGGCCGTTGGTCTTGGGTACTTTTGCCGGGCCAACGACACTGGCACGGCCTTTGACGCTCTTAGAAATTGCGCCGAGTACCTGCAACAAAATTTTTATTTACTCATATTATGTCACAGATACTTTTTCAATTTTTCAAATCGTTTCCGCTGAAATTATTTTATTTTTTTTTTATTTTTTTATTTTATTTTATTTTTTTTTAAATATTCCTACGTTAATTGTTTATGCCATCATTTGACAAGAAAAAATGTATACCTTAATATCGCATTGCGAGTAGTGAGGAATGAAAAATTTTTTCAACAAAAAAATTGAACTTTGTTGGAATCTCTTTCAAAATTTTTCACAAAGATGTCGAGGGTTTCTTTGCAAAGTAAACTGTCAGCGCATTGTTCTCTCATCGTGAACTTCGCCAACTCCGTGCAGCCATACGAAAAGTTGAACTTTGCACAACAAGAGGAAAAAAAAACAACATTTTTTCGAATTTCCAGCAGCTAAAGAGACCGTACCAGCAAACAATATTTTGAAAGTTTTATGGATTTTAACGATTTTCTTGGTAATAAAATGTTGTTTTTTTTTACTCGTGCGCACATAAGCTTTCGATTTGGCTTTTCTTCGAAAGTTCTCTACAGTCATTATTTCAGTCGCAGCGACGAGCCCAATGTATCATCAACTTCGGTTGATAAAAATCGGTAAAAGAAGTGAAAGAAACAACGTCGAAGTATACAGGCATTGTTCCGGCTTACCCCGCGAGTAAATTAAAATTGTACATCCACGAGGTGGAGGCGGCCTTGAAGACGTTGCACCAGATGATACGGTGCTCCCGATTGACGAGAAACTCCCAAGCGTTGGGCCGGTGGAGCGAATCGTTGCCGGGCCCGTCGAGGCCCTCCTCCGCGCAACGATCCGCGAGGTACTTGCGCCTCTCCGCCATTCGCATCTCCATCTCCGTCATCCGGCTCTGCTCCATCAAACGCTCCTCGAGCGTCATCATGGCTTCCTCCTGAAAACCATGTATACATGTAAGTTACGCCGATCGGTCCCTCCCTTGCATATAAATTTTTACACTTTTTCTCATCATCCCCGTGTACAATATATATAGTTACAAACTCCGGGGAAAACAGGGGCACCGTGATTATTATTACTATTGTTATTCGCGTCGCGTACTCCAAAAGGCGCATGCAAGTACATGAGAAAAATTAAAGAAAGCAGCGCGCAAGGGCGCGATAAACAAGGGCCTTTGGTGCATCAGGCCAATGTCGCCCACCCACGATACCTATATATATATACCTCCTCTGACTATACTTAATACATATACCCAGAGAAAAAAATATAATAAAAATTACTGTGCTGGAATGGTAATCTGGAGACTTTTTACTTTGGCCATCCTAATTTTTACCATTATTCCGGACAGTAATTTCTATTGTACAAATAGTAAAAATCACTGTACTTACAACAAAAATTACTGTTCTAAACACTAAAAATTATTGTTCCAATAGTAAAAAGTCTCCAGATGACCAAACAGTATTGCCATTCTAGCACAGTAATTTTTATTATATTTTTCTCTCTGTGTACTTTTAGAGGACGGGGTAGTATCGAATGATTGCACCGAAGCCCTTGAGACCCACTTTTTATGCACGAGCATGTGTAACGAACATACACACCTTACATTGTGGGAGGTGTTGGAAAAAAATCACTCGTGGCTGTATGTATGTAGTTGCAGCGATATAATATATTATACCGAGAGCTGGTAGTTGTAGCGCGTGGGAAGAAGCTGTTCTCTTGTTTCCTTAATTTTCTGTTATTGCAAAGTTGACGATTGGTATAATATGGGGCGTATTGCGTTTGTGAGCTTATTTTAATTTTTTAAAGATTTCAAGTACACCTATGGTATACCCAATATATACTTGAAAACTTGGGGGATGACTAAAGTATTAAGTGACCGACATAATTTTCGTACCTCCGATCTTCAATATTTATTTATACGAATAAGCTATACAGTTGAATCCCCCAAAGCCACACAATTTTGGCGAAAAGTCGGGTCCGAAGAAATCGTATTTTCATCGAATACTAGCTTCTCGAGGATAAAAGGACTTTTCCAAGCGCTTTCCCCAGGGTGCGACCAAACCTGGTTTTCTCCATCTCCCTCCCCCTATCCCCGTGGACATAAGGGTGCTTTCCAAGGACCTATTTTTGACATGTTGAAAGGTGAATTTTTTTCGTTTCGTTCAATTGAAAAGCAAAGCTTTCGATTCCGGTACAGGTCGTACGATCGTCAGCACCTATGTCGAATTTCAACGGTGCCCGCAAATTTGCGAAACCCTCGTGTATACGCTCGGGCTGCAATATCGCTCCTCGCATGTATCATCGCATCCCCCCCCCCTATTGTGACACATTTCCTGTCCTCCTACATATCGACAGTACAAAAGTACAGGTTAACGCGGCTGGAATTAATTTCAATTCTCCACACGCGAAACGCCTACCTGCATTGCCACATGCACACTTCCAAAAATCTCAGCACTGCTATACACGCAGTTACGTAGTATGATGTGCGCGCGTGTAAATGAAACACTGTGTGCACATTTAATATCCTTTCCGACTCCCTGGTTTCATGTGTAGGTATGTATTCCCTGCATAAAGGCACGCGGTCTCTTCTATATGACAAAGCATATAGCCGCGAAAGCGAGGATGTAGAAAACCATTTTTTTTTTTTTTTTTTTTTTCTCGGAGTGAAATATGGAAGGATGTTTTTAAAAAATGGCAGGAGCTCTTTTCGAGAACGAATACGGTAGCGTTGCCGAAAAGGAAATTTTTGTCCTTCGAGGAGTAAAAGGCGAGGATTTGAATTTTAGAGAAGAGTTGCCGCCTGTCTATACACTTTTAATCCGCATTTTCCCGGCCATGTATATACGATAGTAAGAATCACTAAACGGGCCCAACGGAAAGATTATGGTAATCCTCCTCGTCGTCGTCGAGCACAATTTTTTCACGGACAGAACTTTTCTCGTTTTAATATAGGTATATATACCTTGTCATTATGATTATTACAATACGCATCGGACTTGACTCGTATACGTATAATAATGATAATAATCGCGTATTACGCGCTTTTACATTTATTTTTCCGCAAAAACTTTTACAGCATACAATGTTCTCGCCAATACGCATGTATTTTGAAGCACAATCTGTTATAATATCCATCCCTGTACAGTCCAGTGTTTCCTCTCTTTTCTCTCTCTCTCTGTTGTAAGTATACTTAAATGTATGTACATAGAAAATGATCACTACCGTGTGGGCCCCGTCAATCAAAGGTCTGCATAGCGCATACCAACCACATACCAAATATATGTACATGAAGCTCGTCTCTCCTCTCGTACTGTTTGGTAACCGTGGCTGCTGCACTCCCCGCAAGTCATGCGCGCGTGTAATGCACTTAATAATATGCATATATAGTTAACGTAGCATAGCAGCCCTCCTTCTCTTGACTTCTCTCGGTTTCAAGGCTAATCCAATTTTCTCGTTTCTGCGATTAATCTTTTCGCATTGGTTCGATTTGGGGGGAGATACGTGTACCTATACATGTGCATTTTATCCGCGTGGGTTGAAGATTTTTCGTTTTTAAAGATAAATGAAAAAAACATTGCAAAAGCCACGAATATAATATATTACCTGTTGTGAAACATTGTGACCTACGAAAAATCTTCATTGTCGATTGTCCTGCTATAGGTACTTTATTTGGGTCTCCTTTCTAATTTCAACGCTCGTGTGGTATTTCGATAGTTCACCACCAAAGATGCAAAAACACTGATTCGAGTGCAACGCGAAATCGCTGTATTTAATGTAACACATTATTATTTTTCCCACCTCTGTGTTAAACTCGGAAAACTCAAAAAACATTGACGAAAAATATACTACACTTTCGGTACAGTGAACGCTACCCCCTCCCCCCCCCCAACTGACCTAATTTCAATGATACTTATTCAATCAGTGAACATATTTACTGCTGAAATCTCCCCGATTTAGTTGAAAAGAGTACTTAGGCATACTTATATTACGTAGTAAAAGTGTATGTGCATTATGAAAAGGAAAAATTGAAAAAGCCCGAGGAGCAGCCGACTTTGGTAACCGTATAACGTAATCTCGAAGAAAACGCACCCTCAAAAAGTGAGAGAGAGAGAGAGAGAGAGAGAGAGAGAGAGAGTGAGGTGGATGGAGTTTGCGGAGCGTGAGATTAAAGGGGGCGAGAGGCGCGAGTACGTGCAGAGCCGCAGCTTGACGGGCCACCTTGGTAAGCTCGCTCGGAGAGAGGATCAAGAGGGCTGGGAGAGGACGGTAAATGGAAAGGCACGCGCGAGCAACGAACCGCGTAGCCGTGGAGAGCTTTTACTTCAACTCTGATGAGCTTTCGCTTTTCTTTTCTCAAGAGATTATCCCGACAGAACTTTTGTTTCCAATTGCTCAGTTTTTTTTTTTTTTTTTTTTTTCAGTTAATAATAACCATCTTATTTTGTTAGTGGGAAAAGCTTTGTATGTCCCTGTGGTTTGGTGTACGCGCTGTAATGGCATTTTTTTCTTTGAAGCACACCCTTCGATGCATGTCCCGCGGAGGCACTTGAACTTGTTAATTCTTTTTTTTCGCCGACTCAGCGTATCCGTGACGAATCATCGGCACACCGGCGAAAAACCACTTGCCACGTGGATACGTCGATTTTTTCTTCGGCTTATCGCCACCTTGTTTCATACATTTCTACTTTTTTTTTTTTTTTTTTTTTTCACTCGGCCGAGTTTTTGTATAAAGGTCGCCATGTGTACTTGATCGCATGGAGCTTTATTCTTGTCGAAGGCCAGTTTGCAGTCATATAGTGAGTGCAGTGTATATTTCGCAAACGACGGGGTTTTCAATGATATTATGTATGACCCTGAAGCTCACGTCAAACGTTTGATGAACTGATATGGTTGATACTTTTAGTTTAAATTAAAAAAAAAATAAATAAACGCAAGGTATTGAATTGATAAGTTTCGTGCGATCACTGCACGCGATCTTTCCTGCGCTTTTCTAACGCCAATCTTCGAATACAAAATACACGAATAAGGTTCTTTGTAGTTGTTTGCTTGCTGTGTTTGCATGTAAGATCGATTGTGCAAACATTACGTGCATGCACATTGACTGACGCACACAAGCGTGGAAACAAATGCACATAAAAAGAGGGACAAACAGGGAGACATATTTAACTCTAATATCTATGTGGGTGAGTTATTTCTCCTAAGCTATTTTTTTTTTTATCGTGTTGTAGCGATCGAGGGTGTCGAGGAGAGAGAAGGAGGAGGAAACAGAAGCTTCCGCTTATTGATTTCGCGTCTAGTGCACGTACCACCTATATACCTTCGCTCATGTACATGTATGTATGTATATATGTATAGATGGGCCTACGGTGCATAAACTAGCGGGTGAATAAGTGAGAGCCAGTAAAGGTGGCACGTACACCGAGATGTATGGGCCACGCCTGTATTGGGCCATTGTGAACGTGTGTGAGAGAGAAAGAGCCAGATGTACAACTATTGGATTATATACGCGCAAGTTTGCACACCAAAACCGGAACGCGTGTACACGATCTGCGTCACACGTAACGTGTGGGATGTACATGATTACGTGGGCACGTCGTTTATGACGGAAACAGTCTTTCCGCGATTACATTTGATTGTACAGTGTTGCAAATAATTATGTCGATTAATCTAGCGTACCTATAGGTTTTCTTTGTACAGTGTTACGTAAGGATGATTTGATCCCACGAGAAATTACGAACAAACACGCGTCAAATTGTTACTTTATCGGATGTTATTCATTGTGGCATTGAAAAGTATAACAATGAAGTAAAAACAGACCCATTGTTTATTTTTTTTTTTTCTTTTTTTTTTCATTTGAAACAAGTGCTTGAAGTGATACTGGTGCCCGAACAGAAACATATAGCAATGGATTGCTATTTGTTTGTTTTTTTTTTTTTT